TCTGTTAAGGTGAGCTCCCATCCTGTGCTCACTCCATCTGCTCTGCAGGCCTGACTCCAGTGGCTTTTGCACTTGGTGGCCAGTGACTCGACCTTGAGAAAGGCGGACATCGCATGAAAAGCGGGCTTGGACCATAGAGCCAGAGCCAGTGGTCTGCAGTGGATACTCTGGGATCTGGGGAGAGAGGCCCCCAGGGCTTGCTGGACTACAGACCTCACAGGGTGTCAGCCCCTCCTAAGGGTGCCCCCTCTCACCCAGGTCTTACCCTCCGGTGCTGCAGGTAATTGTCCCATAATAGACCACCAAGTGAGGGACTTGGCTGCCGCTCAGTCCTGGTTGGCTTGTCCTCCCTGTCCCTTCCCTGCACTGTGGATAGCTCTAGTGTGGACTGAGACTGGTTCCTGTCACACGATGTTTGGATTCAGATGTCCCCGTATAACAGTGTTTTTATTGATCTATTTAGGTGAGGTGTTTTTATTCATTTTGATGTAGGCAGGTAGATAGGGAAGGCCCCCTCTCAAGGCAATGGCAAAAGCCAACCCTGAAGAAAACAGGAAAAACAGGAATTAAGACTTGATAAGACCCTCACCTGTCTAGAGAACAGACCCAAAGAAGCTCCTGCAGGAACAAAAGGCCAGGAAAGGAATTTCAAAGAGGACCATCACCATTCCCAACCCCCCTGATAACCTCCTTAGCAACGGACTTTTACCTAAGAAGAAGCCCCACGTGGGGGCAGATTGGAGAAACCCTATAAAGGCCACCTTGAACAAAGGAGAGGCGTGGCATACTGCCCGAGCCCATGTGCTGCTTGTGCCCACACGGCTGAGCACATGTGTCACCCGCATCTCCCCTCTTAAGATGTGTACTTTCATGCTTTCGTGTCTAATGCTGGTACGTGTGTAGAGGCTCTCTCTGTTCTTGGAGGAGCCCGCGTTCTCTCTTGAGCTTGTCACACTCTTTCATTCTCTCCACTCACTCCCACTACCTCACTCTTTTCCCCTTCAATACTTCCAAATAAAATCTGTTTTACTTCACTGCTTTTCTACTCCTGAAATTCCTTTCTGCGAGCAAGACAAGAACTCAGTAACCCTGGGTCCCGGGAGGCAGAGGTGGTTGGGGAGAAAGTGACTATCTTTCTCCTCCCCACTTCACATAAGTCGCCCGTGGAGGCCACCGACATCAATTTGACCGCTGCCACACCCAGCAGAATGGTGGTCAGGGCTGATTCCTGGCTCTGCATTCAGGGATCTCTCCTGCAGGTGGTGGAGGTGTTCTGGGGACTGTGTAATCACACAAAAATAAAAGGGGCCGGTGGTCAGGCCGTTTCCCCACTCCAAGGAGGTCGATGGCGATGGTCAGGCGAAGGAAGGAAACGGGGGCCAGGCTGGTTGGTCTTAGCAGCAGTTCATTACATGGAAGAGATGTATGTCATGGAGGCCCCAGGATCTCTCAAGTACGTGCGCCTTTGTTCTCTCAGCTTCTGTCCTCAGCCCCATCTTCCCAGGTTCTCTGATGCACGTGTCCCCGCAGAGAGCCATGAAATCTCCCTTATATAGATCATAGTACCTCTAAAGGGCACAATATAGTGATGTCATCAAAAGGAGTTACAGAAAGAACACTGAGGCAAAACATACATTGTTTCTTTACATCAGCAGGCCAGTAATCCTGGCCTCACCTTTTTACAAGCTACAAACACTTGGATTAGCACAACAAAGACCTGTCTGCTAGAGCTTGGAATCTATATCTCCAAAATCAGCCAGTTTGGAGCCAGGCATCTACATCCCAAAGATCAGGCCTGCCTTAGCACCTGGGATCTGCATACCTAAGGCCAGCTAGGTTCCTGTGAGACAAGAGAAACTGCCTCAATATACTGAAATCATTTACTGAAGACAGTTTGAAGGGGAGAAAGTTCAGTCTCATCCAAGCTAGTCAGGACACACAGGAAAACTGCTTCTAGGACGTGTTTCTCCTCTCCTTGTCCAACCAACATATAAGCATACATAATATTAATCATTTTGTATGGACACAGTAAGAAATACCTTGAGCTTATAGAATTGCTCTCCCAGGGCCATCTCAATCTCAGACTGCAGTGCTCAGGCCAGGGAGCTTTCCTATTCCTAGCAGCAGGGTCCTAGTCTCATCGTTACTTTTGGATCATGACAGCATTTGCCTATGATCAAACTCTTAACTTATAGTTAAGAATCGTGGCACCTTGGCCTGGCCCATCACGATGCCAGGGTAGCACAAAACTTACCGGCTTGCCCCTGTTCCATCCAGTCCCATGTCGGGACCCGGCCCTTGGGGTGCTAGGAAGTGAGGGCAACTGAGGCTTAAGTTGAGAAGGCAGATGCCCAGGAGTGAATAATATTCTAAGCCAATCAATTCCTAAGTTACAAAGCATTTTAATTAATTGTCTTCCTGTATCTATACAAAAGGACATTGCATTAAAGTAAACTGCTCAAAAGACATAAGGAGAGGAGAAAGGCAATATTAACTTATAGTACAGCTTCAGTGTCTAAGAAGGATGAGACCTTACAGATTGGTTGGGGAAGAGAGCATAGAAGTGATTACAAACAAACAAAGTAATAGGAATGACTCGGGAGCACTGTGATGGGTGCAACCTGATAAACCTAAGCTCCATGTACTCCAACAGGGGACCATATGGGGAGCCAGAAAATCCAACCCAGGATTTTCAACTGTGAGGAGCAGGTCTAGATAGCCTTTTCAGATCCTCTTTACAGGAACCCACATTCCAAAATAAGTTGTTTTTCTGCCCCTGAGCAAGGAACTCGGATACAGGTGCCCCGAGTTGCAAGTCACGAGAAGGAAAGGGGGGATCAGACCAGATAACCTGATGTCTCTCACAAGACCCATGTCACAAGACCCAGGATTGCCCTAAAAACCAGGATGTTCCTAAGCACTGACACAAATGCTGATCTTTAAACTAATAGGCTAAGGAGTGATGTACTTTCAAATGGATTGGTCAGGAAAGTGTGGGTTGTTACAAGTCTATTGGCTATGAAATATGCGGGCTCTGCTTGTAACGGCGGATGAAGGCCTATATAAGATCCCCTTTGGAGAAGCTCAGGGTCTTGCCCAACCTGCTGGACCTGCGTGTCTGCATAGGAGGCTCGACCCTGGCTAGTCAATCTTACAATAAATCCTGCTTGCTGTTTTCAGTCTCTGGAGTCTCTTTGTCGTTAAAGGGAGATTTCAACCCACATCCTAACACAGCCATGTGCAAGGCAAGTCTCTTCCTCCCCTGCTCCCAGTACTATCTTTCAGGCCCCCCAGACCTGTTTAATCCAGCAGTGTTTATTAGCAAAATCTGACACTATTTGGTTTATTTTGATTTGGTTTTAAACCACACAGGACGGTGCTGGGATCCACTGCTGGGATCTACCACAGGCTCCTGATAGTATGCACCAGGACCAGAGGTGCCCAGAATTTCATCCCAACCTGGCCTGTGCTCCAAAACTTGTGTTCCAGCCCTTTGAGAATGGCAAGTTTTAAGGCACAGAATAAAACAAATACAAAGTCACTTTCCTCTTGGAGATTTCATTGCAGTGAGACATGACAGGCAAAGTCAAGGGAGAGAAACTTTGGCGTATTAGAGTCTTGGAACAATTTTATTGTGATTATCTCTACTGGCTGTCCTCGCCAGGGCCTCTTGGAGGGGAGCGGGTTGAGTTTCCCTCCCCACCCCGAGCAGAGCTCCGGCAGCTGAAGACCTCCAGAACCAGCCACAACCATGCTGAGACCACCCTCCACACGCATGAAGGTACTGGCAGAGGAACAAAGGCATGTTGGTCCTGGGGCTGAGATCTCCAAGCCTGCTCAGATTGGGGCTGAGCATCCTCCACCCAGATCCCCCATCTTCCAGTAGGCAGGGGTCACACCCACCAACTGGCCCCCTGGCGCCCTGTTATCCCATCAACAGCCAAGATCCAGAGACTATAAAACCCAGCTCCCCAAAGCAGGCGGCTGCATTTGTGGCCCCGCGCGACATCTTATTATCTCATTTTTACTTTGGACAAACTGGCAGGCTACCGAATGTAACCTGCCCACATGGCAGTCTGGCAAACTCCCCATGGCATACCCAATATGCCAAATACCAGTAACAATGATGGGTCTCATTCTCCTAACCCTGAAAGAGCCTTGAATATGGCACTTTTTTAAAAAATCAGGGCTAGGATGAAGGAGATGTTACTGGGACCTGCTCGAGGCAATCGATGAACTACAGGATGATCGGGATCGTGATCTTTACTGAGTTTACTTAGCATTGGTACCCCTGTCTCGGACACCCTGAATGGGCCACTCCTGGGGACTCTCTCCTGCTAGAGCCGAGCCTAGCCGCCAGGAACTCAGACCAGCTTGGTGTTCGTGAGACAGTGGCCCCACCTCTCTATGCTTCAGTTTCTTGGTCATCTGGGGGAAGGCACAGCGATTCCTCGGTCCCTAGAGAGAATTCCATTGGCCCAGGGGACCGGCGCGCAGACAGAGCATCCCGTTCATTCCCAGGCGGGTGCGCGATTCTTCGCAAAGGTTACATAAGGCCGCCGGGGTGGGAAGCGGCGCCCATTGAAGGGAAAGGGGCGTGGGGAGGCCGGGGGCGCGGCGGGGATCCCCAGGCCGGGAGTGCGCCGCCCCTGCTTCGAGTGGGGGGTGCGGCGCGCGGGGGAGCGCAGGGCGCGGCGGAGTCGAGTTTCAGAGCGCGGGTGAGTCAGGGCGCAGGCCGGGAAGGAGCCGGAGTCTACCCGCGCTGCGCTGCCCAGCGCCGCCTTTGTTCCCGCCGGAGCAGCGAGCCGCAGCCGAGGGCAACGTCCAAGCCCTCGGCGCCCTCGGCGGCTCGGAGCGCGCAGGGCTCTGCATCCCCGCGCCATGGCGCCCAGGTCGGGCCCCGCCACCCTGCGCCCCCGAGTCCCGCGCCCCGCGCCCCGCGCCCTGCGCTCTGCGCCCTCGGCTCATCTTCTCTCCCCTCTGGCCCCTTCTTGCAGGAACATGGGACCGTGCTGGCCACTGGCGCTGGTGCTCTCGGTGTCCGCGCTTTTCCCCGCTGCCGCCCGGAGCCGCGCCGGGACAGGTAAGGACCCGGCTGCCTCTCTGCGCTCCGCAGAAGTTGGTGGGTGCGCGCCGCGGGCGCGGTGGCGGTGCGCGCCTCATTCCTGGACATAAAAGGGAGTCGCGGCCGCTCCGTGCGCCCCCGCGCTCCTGCCCGCCGCTTATTCCCCGCCGTGCGCGGGGCTCCAGAGGAGATCGGAGCTCCGTCTGGGCCCCCAAAGTATCGGGGCTGGGTGCGAATTCTCCAACTCCGGGCGGAGAGGAATTTTGGGGCGCAAGGATAGCGCCCGCTCTCCGGTGGCCACCGCGCTCCGGTTGCGCGTGCTGACCCGCCCCTGGTAGGGAACAAGGCCGGTGCCGTCCCGCGCACAGGTGCGGAGACACCTGGTACCTTTGCTTCTAAGAAATAACGGGAAGGGAGCTGCCTCGTTTTTTGACGTAGTTCAGAACAGGGGAGGCGCCTCCATCCACCACGGGCCGCGCGCTGGCATGATGGAGGCGTCCTGGGCTGGGCGCACCAGGGTCTGTCCCTTCGGTTCTCTGGGCCTCCTTCTCCCCGCTAGGTCTCAGACTTTGAAAGATGAATTAGTGGGGCTGGGCGTTAAAATCGATCTTGGTTAGCGGTGCCGATCAACGAGGCTTCCGTGGCTCTTGGGTTAGGGGACCTTAGTTCAGGAATTCCACCTTTATCCGATTCAGTTTTCTCATCCCACAAAAAGGAGGGTGGGGGCGGAGAGATAGTCAATTATTCAGATTTCTTCTCTGCTATGAAGATTGAAAGAGAGATAGGAGATAATGTGCTTTCCACACCGTGGCACACACTGGGCACTAAAGAAGTGATGGGAATTCCAGCCGCAACCAGGCCAGTTGCTGCGTGGGAAACAGTGCTGGCGCTGTCACAGAAGGGATCGCAGAGGAAGACAAGACTCGGACGGGGCTAGCCCCGAGCTCTGCCCTCTCCCCCAGGGCAGATCTTCAGGATGACCCCCAGCAGGCATCCCAGCCCTGTGGGGTTTAGGAGAACAGTGCACAGCTGCAGTAGAATAATTGGCAGGGGAGAAGGGAAGGCCACCGGTGCCCCCACCACCACAGAAAGGAAATGGGGATTGGGTGGGTGCTTTGCTTTAACCCTCTGAGCCCCAGAGGAAGCCTGGGACAGCCCACACCATTGTCTCCTTGGGAACAGCTTGACGACAGTTTTTCCTGCTCGGGTGCCCAGCCTGGCATTTCTCGCAGATCAAAGGGCAGCTGGAGCATAGTTTTGGCTTCTCAGCTCTATGATCCACGTTGGAACATTGCAGTTTGGCTGTGATACAGGGAACTGCCAACTGGCGGCAGAGGGCAGCTTTGAGTCCTGTCTTTGGGGATCAGCGCTGCAACCCTCCCCTTCTCTCCCCAAGGAAGAGGGATCAGGGAAAGGAGTGCGGCTGCTTCTCTCTCCTCCTGTGGTCCCAGGCACTGCTTATCTATCAGGAATACCACTTCTCATCCTTAATGTAAAAATGGGAGGCCCTAGAAGGAGCCAGAAGGGCCATTGGGCGCTGTTGGCGGATCCGTGATTCCTGAGAATCTTCCCAGACATGTGAATTATCCTCCCTGTTAACCCAGATTTGAACGTGCCTTAATAATGCTCAGGCAAGCTGCTTCGTGTGAGCCATCAGAGAAATGGGCATGTTTCTACCCCCTTTATTCAATTCTCACCAACATTACTCCAGGAAGTTGGCACTTGGGCTTTTAGGATCTCTCTACTTCTGGTGGGGAAACTGAGGTCAATTCTCAAGGCTTCTCAGCTCCTGAGTCTTTCTGTCCTATCTTTGTCACTGGGACTCATGTTCCCCCTCCTGCATTGATCTGGAAGCCCTTAATGGGTCGGGGATGATCTAGCTAAGTCAGTTGAACTAACTACCCTCCGCTTTAGGTACTAAGGAGTCTGAGGTGTGTGTGTGTGTGTGTGTGTGTGTGTGTGTGTGTGTGTGTGTGTAGGGAGAGAGTGGTGTCACCAGTAATTTGTTCCTGATAATAAAGCGCAGATACATTGAACTCAGTCACTGTACCCCAGGAAGCGCCTTCCCACTGAGCTCCCTGGTACTCCTTGGGAACTCTAGGGGTAATCATTGTTGGGGATTTCTTTTGCCCAGCTCTCTCTGGGGATCAATCCCAAGGTCTCCAAATTTGAAGCATGTGCTCCAATTAGAACCACATTCCTGGCCTCCTCACCTTGATTAGTGAAGCTGAGGGGGCCTGGGGAGCCTTCCTGGTGAGTGTTGGCTAACCAGATCAATATGAGGGCCTGTGCTTTGATGCTGCCTGGGTCTTGCTGTGCTAGAGTAGGGGTAGGGGTTCCCTGGGGCAGTGCTGGGGGCCTCTGGGCCACACCCAGTTGTGCTCAGAGGTTCTCAGGGTTGTGCCTTGTGATGTTTATGTTTGGATTCTAAATGATGCTGGGAATTGAACCAGGGGCAGCAACTCAGGGGCTGCAGAGACAACACAGGTGTTAAGGGACTTGGCTTGCATGTGGTTGACCCTGGTTCCTCCCCCGTAACCTCATACTGTCCACTGAGCACTGCCAAGAGTGGCCCTTGAGTATCACTGGATGTGGCCTCCAGCTGGCCAAACAGTAAAAATATGGGGCCAGAGTGATAAAAGGTAAAAGGTAAAGGCCCTCCCGTTGATCGTCGATTTGCTCGAGTGGGCCCAGTAACATCTCCATTGGAGACTTTGTTGTTACTGTGTCTGGCATATCGAATACTCTCGGTAGCTTGCCGGGCTCTCCGAGAGGGGCGGAGGAATCGAACTCGGGTCGGCCATGTTGGCCGCGTGTAAGGCGAACGCCCTACCCGCTGTGCTATCGCTCCAGCCCAAATATATATTTATTTTTGTACATAAAGGTAAAGGTAAAGGTAAAGGCCCTCCCGTTGATCGTCGATTTGCTCGAGCGGGCCCAGTAACGTCTCCATTGGAGACTTTGTTGTTACTGTGTTTGGCATATCGGATACTCTCGGTAGCTTGCTGGGCTCTCCGAGAGGGGCGGAGGAATCGAACTCGGGTCGGCCATGTTGGCCGCGTGTAAGGCGAACGCCCTACCCGCTGTGCTATCGCTCCAGCCCAAATATATATTTATTTTTGTACATAAAGGTAAAGGTAAAGGTAAAGGCCCTCCCGTTGATCGTCGATTTGCTCGAGCGGGCCCAGTAACGTCTCCATTGGAGACTTTGTTGTTACTGTGTCTGGCATATCGGATACTCTCGGTAGCTTGCTGGGCTCTCCGAGAGGGGCGGAGGAATCAAACTTGGGTCGGCCATGTTGGCTGCATGCAAGGCAGACACCCTACCCGCTGTGCTATCACTCCAGCCCAGGGACCAGAGTGATAGTACAGCATTTTGCATCCTTTTCCATATCCAAGTTCAATCCCCTTTACTCTATATGGTCCCCTGAGCACCCCCAGGAATGAACCCTGGGTGCAGAGCCAGGAGTAAAACCAGAGCACCTCCCTTTGGGTATGGCCCAAACAAACAAACAAAAAAGTAAAAATACATACCTCTCCTGTTTCCCTAAATTCTATAGTTGTATTGGACTTGATTTTGAATTTTATGCATGCTGGTTCTATTCTTTGGTGTCTGACTTTAAATAAATGTTGCTTCAGAGATTTGTTTTTGCTGTTGCATATGGCTATAGTTAATTTATCTTTGTTGCTGTGTAATATTCTAAAGTTTAAATACCCAATTTGTTATTTCTCTGTCTTTGACAATATCTGATTCATTTCTATTGAACATTCTGTGTCTTGCATGTATGTACTTCGACCCAATATCCTGAGTGCCCATTTATTCTCCCACCAGCAGCATACGAGCATTCCGACTTTTCTGCATCCTTGTCCACACCTGTTATTTTCTATTTTTCATAGCTACTTTCTCTGGTTTTTTTTATTTAAATGTGTGGGGTTGCAGGAGGCAAGTCCTCCCCCTGAGCTGTTTTTATGACTGTGCCCTGCTCCCCAGCCACCAGCCAGGGGGAAAAGCCCCTTTTCCCTCGCATCCTCACTAGCACTTGGTCTTGTCACAGGGCTGAGCTCCAGCTCTGTAATGGGTGTGTATTACAGTCCCTCTGCACTCGTTTATATTTTCCCATTAGCTGATCATCTTTTCTCATTTATCTGACATCAGACATCTCATTTATCAGACATTAGCTTTTCTTTTTATTAACATGCAACTTGTGTACCACAATATAAGCTCTTTTTATGTGCAGGGTTGTAGGCATTTGGATGTTGATAAAATTGTGCCTTGATGACGTGCTTAGCTCCCAAACACCTTCACTGCTCGGAGGAAAGACTTCTTCGCCTTAAACAGTTGCTCTCTGGTCCTCTCTTCCACATCCCATCATCCTGCCCTCCACTTAGCAGCTGTCTCTGTGCTTGGACCTTGGCCGGACACTTCATCTTAAGGGAATCACATTGTAATGTAAGACCGCTAGTGCCTGGCTTCTTTTGCAGAGCAGACATCGCCCCTCTGTGGGGAAGCCTGCCCCCGCACATCATTTCTTTTCATAACTGAATAATATCCTGTTGCATGGATATACCACAGATTGTTTCTCTATGTTCTGTGACTGAGAAACATTGGGGTTGTTTCCACATTTTGATGATTATGAATAGTGCTACTGTGCATGTTGGTGGACAAGGGCTAGACTGAGTTCTCATTTCCACTTAGTTTGGGTGTCTACCCTGACATGGAAATGCTGGGTCATATGGTAATTCCATGCTTAGGTTTTTGAGGAACACCCTAAATATTTTTTCTCAGTAACTGCCCCTTTTATATTCCTACTAGCAGCGCAGAAACATCCTGATTTTTCTGCATCCTTGTCCACAACTGTTATTTTCTATTTTTAACAGCCATTATCTTTTTTTAATTTAAAAAGTTAGTGGGGTTTTTTTTGAAAAGAAAATTACATTCTGTTGCTTTTGATCTTACCTCAAACCCATGTCTTTAGAAGTCAAGACAGTGAGTTTTATCACAGCAACCTGAAGTATCT